GAAAATTTGCATAACTATAATTTCTTATTTTTCATAATTTCCGTGTAAATTTCGTTGTATGTTTTAATTATGGATCCTTTGTAAACATCTCCCTGAGCTCGGACTTTTGATGTCGCTATTCCCGTTATTGGATATCTCATTAATGCGTGATCCTTTTATTATGAAAATTTGGGTGGATTAAGATTAGATCCCTTCCTTTCTAATGGGCTATCAAGCTCGTCTCAGTCGTTACTGGTTATTCTTTGCACTTGCTTTTTAAGCGTTGTCCTCATTTTGCAGGAGTTTTAGTCATATCTCCATCGTTTATGGATAGTTTTCCCTGTGATTACTTTCATTGGGTCCGTTTGGGGGACATCTACGTTTCCTATTATAAACACGACTTTGAATTTTGCATTAGTTCCTGAGGAATCCTTGTTCCATGGTACTTCCATCCTTGGCTACGTGTGCAGACGTGGGAAAGTAGTTTCCATGGAGGTTCTCTGATTGTTTCTATAGTCAAATCTTGGTCGATTGTCCTAATTCCTTCTTTAATATTTGGTATAAATTCCCCCGAGAATTCCGTCTTGTTGATGCTAAGCTTGAAGTATTTTTGCTAATTTCCTTTCTTTCAATTTATCGTGTATAGTCATAATAATTCGTAAAAATTCGTAAGAATTCATTAAAATTCAGGTCCTTCTATTTTCTCATATCTACTTGTCGTATGGGGTTTTGTGATTTATCTGGCATATTTCCATAATGGGTTTCCATAGTGTGACCGTTATTTCTCCTACAGTGCACGACGCCGCATACGCTTGGTGGACAAGCATGAGTGGGAAAGAATTCGTACATTGGTACGAACAGGCCGAAGCCGCCTTCAAAAGCGGCAAGGTACACAGAACCCTTCGCGAAAAAGTGAAGGAAACTGAGAAATACTTCTTGGGACTCCTGTCATATCCATCCCTGGCCATCGACTTCCGATCCCTCCAATCCCTCCAATCCACTTCCGCTCCTTCCTCACTAACCTCGGAGCTCCTGTATCCCACAATCCCCTCAGTACCCCTCGATGGTCACCACCCCCTCCTTTCAATTCATTACCTACGCCTCCCTAAGTACGGAGCCCCGAAGGCTTCCAGACAGCTCCAACGTCCACTAGTGCACTCCCGCCTCCGCTGGGCAATACACTTGCTTTCCCTCCTTTCCGTTTCTGGGTTATCGCCTGCCTTTCCGCTAACCCCGTAACCCAACTCGTCGGTAATATTCAATCGGCTAATGTCTAAACCCTGTTAGCTCCGCTCCGCTCGGCTCCACCATTTGCGGACCCGCTGTTATAAAAATGGGGCCTAATTGGCCCATTTCTATAGCATCCGGGTGCAGGAGGGGGCCGTGACATTGAGAAGATGTTACAATTAATGTAACAGATGTTGTAACAGTGGGGTTTACAATAACATGGACATCGGGTGTGTTGGGTGATAATTGATGGTTAGGTTGTTATTATTTACATGTCACGTGATATTATACTGCATAGAGCCCATAAGAGGCTAAAAATGGGAAAATCCCATTTCCATAACACCCGCCCTCGCTGTAACTATATATACTACACTTGTACATAGGTTACACTCCAGTAATAAAATCGACTAGAGTTTACCCTCTTCAGTTCTGGTGGCCAGTTAGTAAGTTAGGGCACGGACATGTTTACTAGGCACAGCGCTCCTGGCATAAGTCGCTGAGGCCGAAGCCCTCCGTCACGGAGACACTCCTTCGTCTCAACCCAGTCTCTGACAACTCCCGAGTATTGCAAGACTTGCGGAGGAGTATAATTCCCTGGAGAACAAGGGAAAAATCTCCTGGGAAAGTCTAGGCAAAGCCGCCTATCTAAAGTCCCAGTTCGAACCACTCAGGACTCCTGAAGAACGTGCCGCAAAAACTGCGGAGCCGGAAGCGAAAGCTTCCAAATACCGGGAAAGAGATGCAAGTCTCCACGCTGGACAACCAGCCCAACGACCACCCTTCCCCACGGGAAGAACGGTAGACCTACCGTACTCCACACCTGAGCCAAGTAGCTCAGGAACACAACAACCTGCTCCCACCCAGGGAGCGCCTACTTCGTTGAGCCCACAGCCCGACAATGTAGCCCAGGCTACGTCATCGCATCCGACGCAGCAATTGGATGTCCAGATGAAGAACCCGGAGGAAAACCCTCCTCCGGGGCAATGACTCCACCCTTGAGAAAAGGGAAGCGCCATCGAGGTGCCCGTGAAAACACCTTCCCCCAACTCAAGGCCCTGCACACAATACTGTATGCGAGGAACCGCAAGTAACAATTGCGGAAATCCCTACTCCGTCAAAAGACCCACATCCACCACCGCTCGTGTGTAAACACCACTTACACACGAACCCTCACGGAACAAGTGAGGAACACCAAACTTTGGGTCGAAATTCATTTCCAACAAACTCCACTACTTTTCTCCCTGCGATACCCATGTATCGCCGTTCACTTCAAAGTAACGGCCCATACTCACTTATTCCCTAAACCCTTCTTCTCTCCTTCACCGACATGTACAAAAATCGCCCACTTTAAAGTGGCAACAACAAAACACTCATTGATAATTTCAAACTCAATGTAAATCAATTATTAAAAACTTTGTTTTCTTCACCATCAACCTTGTATGCGTTGCAAATGCAATGCAAGGGGGTGTCATATCCGTGCATACCCGACCCCGACCCGACTTCCGGACCTCCACCCTCTTCACCTCCGGAGTCATAACCTACCGCTGCCGTTCCGATAACTCACCTTTGGTCCTGGCAACACACCTCCTCCTACTACTCCGCTCCCCCTTCACAACACCTCCACCCTCCCGTTATCCTTCTACACTTCCCCCGTCCGCTCCGATACTCACCTTCGGACCTGACTACTCTCCTTTCCGCCACTCTCTCCTCCCTCCGTTACTCCTCCACCACCCTTCTGCCAAGTTACGACCTTCTACCGTTGTTCCGTACTTCGCACTCGGACACCGCTCGTACCTTACTCCGAGCCTCCGTCATAGTCCCTACCTCGGACTTTGACTCCACCTCGGCCTTAGTCCATTGCATTGGTGACCTCATACTACGTAAACACCATTGCCAATATTCCTCGGACTTCCAACCCCGCCTCCATAACCTCCGTAAGCTCCGCAACCCCCGAGCTTCGCGGACCGCCTTTGGCGCTCTCGCCACCTGTAATGTATTTCTCGCATTTTCCCTTCATCCCTATTTGGACTACTGCTTCCTTCTATTCTAGCCAGTTAGTCATCATCCCCACTTCCCCTCATCCTCCTGCCCCTCTGGGCCTCGCCCTCTCTACCTCCTTTTGGACGTATCACAGGTCTTGCCCTATGACCTTCGGTACCGCTCCGCTCCCTCTACCCTTTGTTCCCGTTCGGACGTCTTCGTTCCGATTCGGTCACCCTTTGTTCTCTTTGTGCTTTTGCCCCTTCCATTATATATATCGGCGCTTGTACATACTCGTCTTGGTTTCAGTCCGAAATCGACCTGAAATGCCCCCAAGAGACTTCCTGCTCACCTACTGTGAAATTAAGGACCAAATGGACAAACAGCAATGGCACAGCGCTCCGCTTGAGTCGCTGAGGCCAAGGTCCCTCCACGCTAAGTCTCCGATTCCACTCCGGAGTCGTCCGTTTCCGCCCATTCTAACAGGGGGAGAATGTCAGGGCAATAGCCCTAAACCCCGAGCCACATGTAATTAGATACATATAGTCACGTGGGTAAGCGGGAACCTCCGGGTAACTGCTTACACACTACCGTAAAATACACACATTTGTATCACTTACAGCTCTGTGTGCTGAGCTACCCCAGAGACCTCACACTCAGTTTATATACAGGTGGGAACAGGTCATGTGGGGGTGCCATGTCAGCCCAGACAGAGCCAGGCTATCGCAGGTGGCTCCATGGGCAATCCTGAGTGTTAGAGGAGAGAAGCACAAGTGGGGATGTGCAGCATATTCGGTAGTGTGGTACCCACATGGAGTACTCAGCATTGGATGCATCCATGCTACACAAGTAAGAGAGGAGGTTGTCTGTATAAAGAAAGAAAGGAAGAAAGGAAAAGGAAAGAGGAGCAAAGGGAGGGAGCAGCACAGAGAAGAGCAGCATGCCCTGACACTCTACCCCAGATGCATCCCTGACACAGAGTCTCTTTTATTAGACACATGCAGTCACAAGACTAGTCAGACTGTCAGAGACCAGATTCGAGACGAGGGAGAGTCTCCATAGTGGAGGGCTTTGGCCTCAGCGACTTCTGCCAAGAGCGCTGTGCCTAGTGACACGTCCGTGCCCTAACTTACTGACTGGCAATCAGAACCGAAGGGGGGTAACTCTAGTTGATTTTATTACTGGAGTGTAACCTATGTACAAGTTGGATATATATATGGTTACAGCGAAGACAGGTCCGCAATTGGCGGAGGTGAACGGAGCGGAGCTAACGGGTTTAAACATTAGCTGACTGAATATTACCAACAAGTTGGGTTGCGGGGTTAGCGGAAAGGCAGGCGATAACCCAGAAACGGAAAGGAGGGATAGGCCTGAAGGTGAGCTCTGCAGGGCAGGCGAGTGTATTGCCCAGCGGAGGCAGGAGTGCACTAGCGGACATTGGAGCTGTCCGGAAGTCTTTGGGGCTCCGTACTTAGGGAGGCATAGGTAATAAATTGAAATGAGGGGGTGGTGACCATCAAGGGGTACCGAGAGGATTGCGGAATACGGGAGCTCCGAGGTTAGTGAGGAAGGAGTGGAGTTAGACCGGAGGGATCAGAGGGACCGGAAGTCGATGGCCGGGGTTGGATATGACACAGACCAGACTCAAACTGGGTTAGGATCTCTGGGAATAATACATTCATGAGGTGGCCAGTTGAACAATCAAGACACACTCACAAAAAATGACTAAGAGCATTCAGCATTCCCACTTCAACCTGGGTTGAAAAATTGAAAGCTTTCATCTTCAAAGGAGTCATTATCCAATTTTAGATCCTTTAAGATGCTTGGTTGTAATGCTGCAGATTGTTAGTAGCCAAGCCAGGTGGGAAGTAGCTGTCGTACCTCATCAACATGAATAAAATAATCAATCCCCAGCAGAATTTTAGGCTTAATCAAATCGGACATGGAGAAACTTACAGGGTCTTCAGAAGTTGCCTCAACGCAACCACCATGGACAAAGTGATAGGGATTGGATCGTCCATCGAACAAGGTGTACGGAATTTGGAGGAGGCGCTTCGCAGCTATGATTATTTCAAAAAGGCAAACCAGAGACTAAACAGATTGAATATGAATATGAGATTTGAGAGTCCTATTTTCCACAGCGGTGCTTCACGGTCAAGAAGCAAAGTCACAGTCTTTCATAGCTGAATGGGCTCCAGCTTTCCCACCTTTTGCAACTGAACGTAGTCCTCATTCGGCATCTGCAAAACGGTCACGGAAAATCCATTAGAGTTTGAATGCTGCATACCTGGTACAAAGAAAGCGCCCGAAAAACCTCCTCACTGCCCAAGCGAGCAGTGACAAAGGCGCTGCCATAATCGTAAAGCCCTTTCCGCGAATCCCATGGGTGTGCCATCCATTCCAACTGGCTGAAGGAGGATCCGGACTCCTCGACGTGAAGAGACATGCTAACGCCTATAATGATAGCTCCAGACTTGTTCACCGGTGACCTGAGCAACTTACTGAAAACCACCATGAGCTCACGTTGCCTGCTCGAATGTTAATAGGACCTTGTCTGAGTCCAAGCGGTTTTTGGGAACATCTTCCAACCTCCGTCGCGTCGTCACCCCTTCCAACCACTGCAAAGCTCGAGATGAAACACAGGCGAACCAGGCACCACACGTTCACCTCGTAAATTTCAGGCTCCCTTACATCAAACGAGGTGCACTGTCGAAACGTGGGATGCGATTTGATGAGGCGGATAGCAGTTTGTTGGGGATAATATCATCTCGAACTGGTCCCAGATATCCGAACGAATTGGGTGGATACTCGTGAACCAAGTGGAAGGTAGTCATAGTGGACGATAGAGCTGTGGATGGATGGTTTCATTTTAGAGTTGCCTATCGGCATATGCCGTACTATGATGACACGGGTGAAAGATGGTTGAGACACGGATGAAATGGTATGCGTTTATATCTAGGTGTGAGCAATGCATCGAGATTCGGAAGGTAGGAGGGAGAATAAAGTGAAGTAATAACACAAAGGAGAGGTGCATACAACTTTTCTGCCTCACGTGACAGCTCCAAGCGTTCAATCACTCTTCTATGACTAAGAAACGCAAAATTTCTGGCCTTAGCGGCATTGAATTGTTTCAGGCTCACGAAGCCTTGGTGAAACTTAAACAATCTCTTGTCATTACCGAAGAGGATGATGGGCAAGACTCGGAGCAATCGGAAGATTTTGCTCGTGGCTTGGATGAGTTGATTTTTGGGATGGAGTCCAGGCTGAATGGACCCCAGGTGTGAATGTTGAGTGTCGTGTATAATGCCCTACTTATTTTCTGTAGGCGTTCGGTTTTTCCACGGCAACTGAAGTTACGTTGGAGAAGTTGGGGATCACCTTGGCTGGTAGTCTTAGACTAAAGCCCGACAATGTACTGCGCGTCGAAAGCAGCAGACTCCTTGGGAAAGGGGAGTTCTGGTCTTCTGAACATATGCATCGCCATCTGGCGGTATTAGGGAGGCTTGTTCCAAGAAGGGTGGGATCCGTTAAATGACTCCCTACTCGAAGCTCACTACCACGTTATGTCACTAGAACGAGGCAGGTGCACGCATATGGATCGATGTCTTTCTCTTCCGTGCATCTGCAATGGTGCCATCGGGCAAACGCATGGTTATCAACCCTGAGCACCCCATCCCAGCCACTCGTATCCACCCGTCCAGTTTAACGACTCTATCTGGGTATATAGACTATACAGCCATCGTAGCAGCTGACAGCGTGGCGGGTTCGGCATTTCCTAAATTCGGATTTCCGCTTGCTCATCTGGCTCCTAGATGCTTACTATCATGTCCCTACCATTGCAATGGCCCGGCAACTCAATACAGGTTTCTTTGTAGCCGAAGCCAAGACTGGCCCGATCGACCAGCACATTCCTCAGGTGGTGTGCGAGATGTATGCAAGTGGAAAACAACTCAAGTAAGCGAGTTATTCACCACGCAATTCCTGCAGCTGATTTGTACTCAAGGAAAGAGACCCTCCGTGGGGCCCTAACCAATGGACATGAATGGATCTTTATAATCGTCCGTTTCAACAGCAATGACTGCGGTGCTGCCTATAAGTTCACTGTGCCCCTGGGGTCCCACGTTTCTCAACCTGCTGAAGATCTGAATCCGCAGACTGGGCCGGACATTATCGCTGGTGTTCTGTCATATTGGGTAAGATGGGGGTCATTGGTTCATCAGCATGATCAATCAACTCATCGATGTGGCAGATTCAGAAAAGCTATGTAGATCTTGAGGATGATGATTGGGTTGAGGAAATTGAGCCCAATGAATGAGCTGCCGACATGTAATTCTGCAGATACTTTGTGGATCCTGAACCGGCTTGTGGAGAATCTCTAGAGGTCAAAAATCATCCTGGTGTAGAACCCTCTTTGTTACCTTGTTATCATTATGTAAACTAGTTTATTGCCGTTTTCAAAATTCCTGGCAAACCCCGCAATTCAAAAATCGTGCAATAACTTTTGGCCTGTAACTCCGTGAAAACTCGATGAAATTTTATGATTCCACTTGCACTCTGAAGCGCCGAAGTAGGGAATCCTAATGATACCAAAGTTGATGCATAACTCAAAGGTTTGTGGATCATCAATTTTAGCATGGATGATCCATAGAAGTTGTTATATCTTTGTGATTACGCATTCCTAAATCATACAAACCACATAGAATGATGCTAGAGTGAACATATTTCAGGAATTGGGGGGTTGCGTGCAGCTGAATCCTTGCAATGGCTGAATAGTTGAACTGCCATTGTTTGCGATTCACCAAAGTGAACGGGCCCCTTGGGCCCTCAACCAACTTGAAACAATTGTGATGGGGACCTGGGGTCCACAGGAGCCTCTTAGGGGGCCTAAGCAAGTTTAATAACACTGTCAACCATGTAAAAGTAGATGTGTCAATTCTGAATTATCATAAGTCCGCCATTGGCATATTACATTATTGTGCCTCTCAGTGGTGACATGAGAATTAACTATACAGGATTGTCATAGAGTAAAGCTGTTTATACAGTAAGAGTTAAAACAATGAGGAAAAAACAAGGGTTATTATTTACAAAGCCCATATCTTCATGATTTCGTCTGCTCACTCGTTACCAACCACACCAGAATGAGCAGGGCACCATTTGACAATGACATCAATACCAATCCTGTTGCACAACAATTGCCCTACATGTATCCCAAACTCCTGCAAACATTGGGCCTGCCCAACCTGACCCACAACAGTCTCGATAGACCTAACATGATTGGAGAAGATATAGATGTGTTGGAGGCCTTGCATCAACATCCTGTCCTGCACAAACACCTCACCTCCCTTGCTGCAGCGCAAAGTGCCCTTGTCTCAGCGTTGCTTGATCCCACCAGCCCATCCATCAAACCACCCATCACAACGATTTCATAGCCATTCTGATATATCATGACGCTGTAGCCTGTCCTGATTACCCCATTTCAAACAGATTGAGAACCATTGCAGTAAACGAAAGATACGACAGGCCAGATTCATTTCATGCAATGAATTCACCGTGTTGGGTAACCCACGCTTGTTGGTGTGATGCTCGATGGGCAGGGGAGGGGATGACAACCTCCAGACGATCCATTGGATGCAGATGTATAGTCTGCATGGGAAGTTGTGAAACTGGGGGGATGTTGGCAATGAAAATGAAAAGGAAATACAGGATATTGATCTCTCGGCCATGCAGGTGCAAATGTGAGCTCTTGAAGCAAGAGTTTGAGCCTTAAGTTGCGCAATTGATCGTGAGCATTCAACAACTTCAACAACGACAACAACAACAATGAACTCCTTCGATGTAAACAATGGTGACGCAAGGAGGGGAGTCACCAACGACGACGACGAGTGGCTGAACACAACTGTTTGGGCTTCAAAGTCAGGCAATTGATTGTGAGTGCTTGACAACTTCGACGGTGACAATGATGAGCGTCTTTGGCATAAACAGTGGTGAAGTGAGGGAGGGAGTCGCCAACAACAACAAGGAGTGGCTGAATTGGAATAGCGCGATGGGGAAAAGACCAGGGACCGTGTAAAAGCTGCATGGGTGCCAATATTGATGGAAGGATTTTCGATTTTCTGTTGCAGCTCATCATCACTTGCCCTGTTCACATCACCATCCTCCCTGTCTGCATCACCCAATGTCACTGACGCATGGTCCAGCTCTGCAATGACTGTGAAGTCCCCCTCTTGGGCAATATCTTCCTTCACCATTTGCGGTGTCATCATCTGAGCTTATCACATTCATCATCGGTGCCTGGGACTTTGTGTTGCAGCTGAGATGCCGCACCCAGGTCTGGGGGTGATAGATGAGCAACAACCGGAGATGGTGTTGGAGGCAGAGACATGATTGACAACCCATGGATGTGAGGAGATCTGTTGATAGGAGGTGCCCCAACTCAGCTTGCAAATGACTGAGACACATAATTGTGTCTACAAGCTTTCCTGAGCGATTCCTGGATTGACCTGCAAGTGGGGCTTGGTCCTCAGTGCAAGAGCATGACGATCAGACATGATACAGACCAGTTTACTTTGGGATGCCCTCTGGTCATGAAATTGCAAAAGGAGAGAACAGATCTCCAACCCCTGTGTGAGACACTTGTGGGCTTCTGACATTTGTTCTTGAGCACAGCAAATTCAAGCCTGTAGTCATTTCCCCATATTTGCAAGTTTTAACCCATCACCATGCTCGATTTGAAGGTCAAGGATGAAAACACGATGATGATACTAAAAGGCACTCATAAATATATATGATGATAACACGAAAATGAGACTAAACCTACACCAGTCACCCTAAGCCCAGGAATTAGTTTTCGGAGGTCACTCCAAAATCTCTCATACTGTACCTACATGACCAGGAGCTGCCTCGGGTTTGAGCGTGACAAGGGAGAGCCTGCTGCAAGTGGCCCTTCAAGGCATGACATACCTGGACCAGCAGATTCCAGAGGCATGACACATGAGTCAGCATTTTCCTGCACAACAAAATAAGCAGGCAGCATATATTTCTGAATTTGAACATTTGAAAATTCCCCTCTTGCAAAAATCCGTGAAAAGTGTCAAATGGTGATTTTTCGATGAAGTATAATTGCCTTTTTGGAAATTGAATTGAAAATGTCACAGCCACCCTGAAACCATACTCACAGCATGATGAGGGACCCAGAGCCTCAGACCCAGTGTGACGCATGACAAAGGACCAATTTGAGCCGTGCCACAAGGCCAGTGTGATGCATGACAGGCTCCCGGTCATGTAGGTACAGTAACCTCCATCAGACAATCCCCAACAAGAGTGAAGGGAAGCACTGGGGTGTTGGGCTACTGACTCAGGGATTTGTTTGGGGGTGAAGTTTCCCACTTTTCTGGCATTGACAAATGCTCTTTGACTCATTGCCTTGGAAGTATCCAAGATACACTGAGCAGGAGCCATCTTTGCAATGATCACATTGGGAATTAACTGTGTCAAGGACCCCTGAGGCTCCAGGATGGCAGTTTCATATTATGCATCGCTGAGCCTATCCAAGAAGTGGTATTTTACAGGGGGGCCATTTTGATCTTTGGACCTCCTTCTGCTGTCACCATGCGCAAAGAGCCCAGGACACACGAAACCTTGGGGGCCCCATGGGGCACATGGATCTGACCTCTGGCTGAGCAAGGTGAGGATTCAGTGACAATCTTCTGGCATCCCAAACGGTCCAATTGATGGATTGGTGGCCATGAATGTCTTGACAGTCACTGACACATCATTTGGATCAGTGGCTTCGGAGATAGTAATGCATTGAATTAGGGTCAGGAACATACTGAAGGGATAGGGGCAACTATGTTGTTCTTCACAGTGCCAGTGAAGTGTCTGGTATAGTAAGCAAGCTTTTGAGACAAAACATCAAAGGAGGTAGGTGGTAACCTTGATTTAAGAGGGTGTCAAATGGTTATTGATAGACAGGTCAATATAACAAACACCTCAACCCGAGGGTGAATGAGTTTTAGTTGATTACATTTCTCCATCAATGGGGAAAATTCCAATAACAGAAAGACTTTTAGACTTCCAGGTTGTGAGGCATGGTGGGACTTGAGAAGCGCTTCATGAACAAAGTGCATGTCATATCCATCCCTGGCCATCGACCTCCACTCCCTCCGATCCCTCCGGTCTACCTCCGCTCCTTCTTCACTAACCTCAGAGCTCCCGTATTCCACAATCACCTTGGTACCTCTTGATGGTCACCACCCCCTCTTTTCAATTTATTACCTACGCCTCCCTAATGTCAGGGCACAGCCCCTGACCCCACACACCCTCAGGTACCCTTCCCCCATTTTCTCCTATTTTTCCCTTCACTGTTCCACAATCCCGCATGCATGCAGACCCGTGGGAACGTTCTGGGCAAGCAGCTCGCCCAGAATCTTCCCACGGGGGGGTGCCAATTATGGAAAGTCGGCAAAGAGCCGAAAACTGTATAGTTCCCGACTCCCATTTGTAGCGGCTTCACAGGAGGTTGAGAAGGTTACCCTTCTTCTCAACTCATTTCCTGTGAAGGCAAGTGTAACTACCTTCTCCCTAAATGCGCAGCAACTCATTTCCTGTGAAGGCTGGGGCTAGCCCCCTCAGTGAGTTTGAAGATCTCGGACTGGGACTAGATACCCCAGCGACTAGGAGGATCCCCCTGGGCCCATCGCAGAATGAGGGCCGGGCCCTGACACCTAAGTATTGGAGCCCCAAAGGCTTCCAGACAGCTCCGACATCCGCTAGCGCACTCCTGCCTCCGCTGGGCAATACACTCGCTTGCCCTGCAAGCCCACCTTTGGGCCTATCCCTCCTTTCTGTTTCTGGGTTATCGCCTACCATTCCGTTAACCCTGTAACCCGACTCGTTGGTAATATTCAATTGGCTAATGTCTAACCCTGTTAGCTCCGCTCAGCTCAGCTCCACCATTTGCGGGCCCGCTCTCGTTGTAACTATATATATACTCAACTTGTACATAGGTTACACCTCAGTAATAAAATCGACTAGAGTTTACCCCCTTCAGTTCTGGTTGCCAGTTCAGTAAGTTAGGGCACAGACGTGTTACTTGGCACAGCGCTCCTGGCATAAGTCGCTGAGGCCGAAGCCCTCCACCACAGAGACACTCCTTCGTCTCAACCTGGTCTCTGACAGTGCAACAAGTTCTGAGTGAATGTGGCAGCCTGTCAGGACTTCTGGGAAGGGCATAGCCACAATCCAAACCACATGGTGTTCAACAACCATGGTGTCCCCTTTACCTTCTTCTGCACTGTCTCTTGTATCGTCGCTATCAAGCAGGGATGAGGTCACCATCTCTACAGGCATCAGGAAACTCATGAATGAGTGTTGTGAGATTGTGGCAAGGATGCTTGCTCTGCAGCTCTGTCTGGACAAGATAGCTGTTCTCATTGGTGTGAGCATGCGGTCTGTTTATCACATCTGAGCAGTTTGTGAAGAGAATGGAGGGGCATACAAGATATCAAAGCCGCCTTCTAGAGCTGGTCAACCTGCTTTGATTTCAGAGGATGACATGAATGTACATGTCATTTACACACAGTTTATCAGTTAGGAATCAACATATCTCTACCTTAGTACCTCCTTGGGCTTTTATCCTTCCATCGAGATTTCTTTTTGGATGAACTACAGTTCCACCTTCGTGAGTTTTGGGGCCTCAATGTCTCAATACCAACAATCTGGCATGCACTTGAAAAGGCTGGGCTATCTTGGAAGAAAGTATGTATGGGATATTTGTCATATCCCAGAATCCTGACCCCGCGCTCTCCCACCTCATCACACCTTCCTAACAACTTCATCATCCCCTACACCATAACTCCCCACTCCCCAAGTCACCTTCCTCCCTAACTGTCTCAGCTCTGGCCTGGTCGTGGCACACCTTACCTTGACCACTCCCATCCTGGAAGCTCGGTCCCAAGTCGGAACATTCAGAGACTCCGGATTTGCTCCGATATCCCGACGGATCTCCAACATCCCGTGACATACCTTTAAACCATTCCCCCACCCATTTCATTTATTGGAGTTTCCCAACATCCTTCGGATAGATAACTCCACCTTCGGAGCTACCCACATCCTCCGGTGACCCCACCCACGTTGTAGGAGTGCATAATGGGTGTGCTCAAATTCATGGAACCTTATGCAGCAAATACATCAAAATTGGGCTCCCGCCCTTGTACATTATTAGGAAGAAAGAATGATAGAGGGGAGTAATAGGAAAGAAGAAATAGGGTTTTTGTACGAACCGAATGAGCCTTTCTGCGAAGGAATTGGTTGAGATTTGGTGGTGAAATTCAACCAGAAATTGTCAGGGCCCGGCCTCGGACTCGGAGGCTCCCTGACCTCAACCCCCATCTGGCCTGTCCTCACACTATGCGGGGCATGAGATGTATAGTAAAAGGAAAGAGAATATATACACTTGCCTATGCGGGGCATGAGATGAGAAGAAGGGTAAAGGTCTCATCTCCCCGCATGGTTGCTATATAAAGGAATGGGTCACATGCCCACAACTATACAGCTCTTAGAGTTGTGTAGTGTGACCCGGAGGGAATATCCAGGTGGCAGTGCCAAGCGTGGGAACGTTCTGGGCGAGTTGCTCGCCCAGAACTGTGGCTGTGACCCATGGGAACATTCTGGGCGAGCTGCTCGCTCAGAAAGTTCCCGCACTATCCCGTGCGCGCGCGTGTACACAACACACAAAGGCAACAACAAGGCAACAGTCGAAGAATAAAAGGGGGTAAAGTAGGTGGGGAGTCCGGGGCACCCTAAGGCAGGGTGCTGAACCCTGACAGAAATGTCCTCATGAGCAAAGTCCGTGTACTTGACTGCGACCATGAGAACAAGGTCAAAAGCTGACGGAAGAGGACGATCTTGGGGTCATTAAATTGAGAGAAATGCCCAAATACTCAGTGTTGAATTTCACCCTAATCGGTTCAGTGGTTGTGGAGATATTCTGATTATCAGGCATGATGGGAGTCACGGGACAATATGAACTATGTGGAAGCTCACGTGCGAGCTAGTCTCAGTGAAATTCCAGGAGAATATGGGCTAGTTAAATGATACAAATACTAAAGAAGACATTGGAGGAGTCTTGGAATTGTGGCATATTATTTGGCCCAAGTTTCCCTGTGCACAGATAATCAAGATATATATTCCGTTTCTGAGAATTCCCGTTCTCAGTCAAATCTCCACCAGACTTCACAAAATCGGTATCGATAGAAAGCTATGGATGAGGAGAGTCGAGTGGGATAAAGGGACGGAGGTTTGATGCAGTGTTTGGAGTGGTATGAGGAAGTTTGTGTTTTTCTTTTCAATTTCCTTTGTTGTTTGGAAATTTATTCTAAGCCA